CGAAAAGTTAAATTAATATCTATTAATTAAATATATACATTAGGGCATGTAACTAATTGACCTTATATCTAAGAACTGTAAATAAAGTGATATTAGTAGAGAATTAGTGGTTTAAACTAGGGAAAAATTAAACTATAGGCTTTTTTTAATAGGTATTATAATAAGGTAGTTATAATATTATTAATAATTATAATTAAAAGGTATAGAAATTAAGTTAAATAACTTACTATATATTAAATAATTAAAGTATAATATACTATAGAGATTAATATAAGACCTTTAAAGTAAGTTTATAAAAGGAAGATTCTAGCTAGTTAAAAAGTAAGTAAGGCTTTCTAGCTAAATTAAATTTATTTAAATTTAAGCTATAATTAAAGTAGCTAACTTAATAATATTAACTTAATAAAGCTTTACTACCTAAAAGGTAAGGAATATTCAAATTATAGTAAACTTTAAAGATACTTAAATACCTTTTAAGGCTAATATATAAATTTAAAAAAAAATATATTATAGAGGTTAATATAAGATATTTAAAGTAAGGTTATAAAAGGAAGATTTTAATTAACTAAAAAATAAATAAGGCTTTTTAGTTAAATTAAATATATTTAGGTTTAAGCTATAATTGAGGCAATTAAGTTAATAATATTAATATAATAAAGCTTTACTATTTAAAAGGTAAGGAAGATTTAAATTATAATAGATTTTAAAGATATTTAAATACCTTTTAAGGCTAATAAATAAACTTAAAAAAAGAAATATACATATATATTTAGCCTTAATAATTATATTATTAAGCCACTTTTTATATAAGGCTAAGCCTATTAATATAATTAAGAAAGCTATCTTTTTTATATTATAAGGTAACCCTTTTTTAATAGCTATTTCTAGCTTTTTTAACCTAAATAGCTCTTTAGCTAGCTAAGTGAAATAAACTTAATAACTTAAACTAATTTAATTTATATAATTAATCAAACTAATTAAAATATAATTTAAAATAACTATTTTAATTAAGCTAAAGAGGGTTTTTAATAAAAAGTTCTTTATAATAGCTATAATTATTATATAAATCTTATAGTAATTTTTACCTTCAGCTTATTTTAATATTAATTTAATTACTATAATAAAGTTATAATTAATTATATAATTTCTTTTCCCTTACTATTAGCCTTATAAGGCTATTAAGCTTTTAACTTTATATATAAAGGCTTAAATAATAAGGTATTTATAGTAGGCCTATATCTTAAAGGTTAGAATCTTATAAGGTTTATCTGCATAATTACTGCCTTAATTAAGCAGTATTAATACTGCTTACCTCTTAGCAGCTATATTAGCCTTCTTTTTTTACCCTACCTAAAAGAATATTAGGCTAAGTTTATTACACTTCTACTTAAAGGTCAGTTAGACCTTGATTAATTAATAAATTAAGTGCAGACTTATAAGTATATTCCCTAACCTATTAATTATAATTATTAATATTAATTATAGCTCTTAATATAATATTATATATAAGAGCCTAAAACCTAATTAAGGCTATTATATAACTAATTATAACCTTATTATAGTAATTAAATTAATATTAAATTAGGCTAATAATGGAGATTAATACTTTATTTATACCTTTATTAGAGATTAAATTAGTATTAGGTTTATTATTTAGACTAGGGTTAACTTTTTTTCCCTTTTTAACTATAATAATAGTTTTTCTTTTACTAGATAGTATTTTTAATTTAGGTATAAATATCTATTTAAGTTAAATTAGTTTATCTTCTTTTTTTTTATAATATAGTTTTTATTTATTTTTATTTATTTTTATCTTTTACTTTTCTAGGTTGCTTTAATATAGAATTTCTATTATTAATATAATATATTCTAAAATAGGTTATTATTTTTTAGGGATATTTAAGTAGTATTTATTAAGTATTTCTTTTTAATTAAAGAATAGGTTATTTACTTAAGTAGAGTTACTTAATCTTAACTTATTATATTTAAACTAGGTTATATTAATAATTTAAATAGCTATTTATAGTTTATTATTATTATTATTCTTTTTAATAGTAGTTACCTTTTTACTTTGTAGAATTTAAAGTATTAATTTATATTTTTAGTTAATTTTAATAGGATTCTTATACTCATGGTCTTTATAACCTTTTTTATTATACTCTTAAGAAGTAAGTTTAGATTTATCTTTAATTATAATCTTACTAGCTATTAATCTAGATTTAGTTCTATAAGAGGTATTAATATTTTTATTATCTTCTTTAATTTATATTATAATAAGGTTTATTGCCTTATTATCTTAAGTTATATCTATTATTTTAGTTTCTTTGGGTCAATTAATAACCATTAATTTCTTATTACTATTTTAATATATTTAACTAAAGTATTAAGTTTAGGTATTTTATATAGTTCTGCTTAAATAGTTTCTTTAAGTCTATTAAAAAACAGTAATATAAAGGTATCTTAATCTTAAGGTAGCTTTAATACTAACTATTAATATTCTACTATATACTTAAAGGCTAATTTAATTTATTTAAGGAATTTAATATATTATTTAGTATATCCTTTTTTATTAATTCTTAAATACACTAAAGTTATTATAAAGTATAAATATTTAAGGTTATCACTTTAAGTTAGTTTATTAAGATAAGCCTCTATAGTAGGTTAGAACTATTATATAATAATACCTTTAAGGTATCCTATAATATATACTTTTAGTAGAATCCCTTTTAAACTAAATTAAGTAATAGATTATAAAGGCCCTATATTAGATAAAGAATATAGCTAGCTTACTAAAGGTTCTATTAAATAGCTTAGGTAAGTTAGGCTTAAGTATTTCCTTAATAATTACTTAAAGGTATTTATTAATAAAAAGGATTAAAGTATTAACTTTAATATGATTTCTATTTAGAAACATAACTTAATACTTAAATATTTATAGTTAATATATTATAATTAGTAAGTTAATTAAAGAACTAATTAAATAGTCTATAAAAATTGCCCCTTAAATAACAAAATTAATTTAAATAATACTAATATAGAATCTTAAACTTTAATTAAGGAAAGTAATAAAGACTGAAATAATAATGTATTACCTATTTTAAGAAAAATATAATATAAATTCTATAAAGGTAAGTATAAATATACCATTTAATATGCTGTCGCAGCTTTTCTAGTGCCGTTTTCAGCAAGCCGCGGGGCTGTTTTCTGTCAGTCATTTGCCAGGATAACCAGTGCCGCTTTAAGAGTGATATTCCCCACAAATCTACGCCAACCCCCCTGTCAAGTATCGCAGATGTACCGACCATATTTATCTGCTAGCCGCCATGCCTTGTTCACATCCTTGCCTACCTAAGCGCCAGATCATTGCATGGTCATTCCTATTCGCTATACACGCTCCCTTATGAATATTACTTTAGCGGTGCTTGCTGAACATAAATACTGGGCACCTCAGCCATCTAGCCAGGTAAGATATCTCCATCACCTTCCTTTACACTATTGCCCTTGAATTACTACCAATGACTCAAAGGAGCCTCCAGTCTATTTCCCTCGCTGAGTCTGATGACTCAGTAGGTTTGTACGAAGATGATAGCGTGTTTGACAGCGACAACGATCACACCTCAGACATAGATACCAATCTCAGCGAGGCCAGCGATATTGACCTTGAGTTGAATGATACAGCATGTCCTCCAGGTGGAAGTGATTTACCTCCGGAGTTCTTTCTCCGCATGGAAGATGACTTCAAGGAAGAGGACGCAGATGACACTGCGTATGCTGATGGCACAACTCGACAACTCGATGCAATTGAACGGCGGTGGAATACGTACGTCTCAATCTTTTATCTTGCAAAACTACTAACATCTATTAGTTACTGTGAATACACCAAGCAAGACCCTAAACACTGCATGCAGCAAATCTCCTTAAGTAAGATTAATGCATTCTTTCATTGGCTCTTTGCCCAGAAAACGGGGGCTAGGGGAAGGAGGCTCCCTGGTATAAGATCTTCCCATTCGCTTAAGCAGTATTGGAAGGAGTTTCGGCTTGTATACGAGAGAGAGACTAAGAAAAAGATCGACCCGGTTCTAAACCGGAGGATGCGTAGAGTACGTACCTGCCTTTCCTTGGTCACGACAGTCTTAACATGTAGCTGATCAGATCCTTCGGCAACTCGTTGTCGATCACGGTTTGACAGGAGAGCGACGCGAAAACCGATGCATGACTATCGAGGATCTTAAGCGGCAAGCAGAAACAACTATTAGCACGACTAAACAAAGGTTCCACCTTGGCGAGCATCGCATCTATGCTCTTTTGTTCCTCCTTCTCATCGCACCAAGTGGCTCTAGACCTAGAGCCCTCCTTTTCCTAAGATTCGGTGACCTCGAGCTTTCTTTGGCGCGTGATCCCCTCGGTGGCCCGCACCGTATTCTTATTCGCTTTAGGCTTCGCTTCACGAAGACTTTTCTCGGAGAAAAAGAAACGTGAGTGACGAGATCAAGCGCTTTTGGCCACTGAGCCTGACTTGTACAGCAATGTCTTGACTCTTCCCGAGACTATCTTTGACTCGAGCTTGCTACTCAGTCCACATACTCTTCTTCTGGGTCTTTTATTCCATCATAGGGCATTTGATGCTCCAACTCTCACTTCTCCTGAGCATTTGAGCAAGCTTGATATCCACCCTGATGAGCACGAGTTACCTCTGCCACTTAAGCAGAGTATGAATGACATATTCGTCTTTCGCAGGGCCACTAAGACAGGCATGAACGCATACGTATTATCTACAAACGAACAGATTACGTACAATATGATTTCCGGTTGGACAAAGAAGCTTGGCGAACTAGCTGGGTTTGGCGTTGTTGTGATCTTATATACGCTCCGTTACAACGCAGGCAACGAGTTTGACCAATGCTGTGCGTACATATGTCACGTACAAAGACTGACTGGCTGACAAGTGATGCAGCGAATATCAGCGATGGACTTCGCAACCTAATGCTTCAACACGCCAACTCTAGGACTTTCGAGAAGCATTACCTCGGCCGTGTTGTCCCTGTGGATACTATGGCCGTTGTAAGCCATAAAGTGCAGCAAAAAGCGCTAATGCGTCAAGCCTGCAGTATCGGGTACTCAGCCAGCAAGCGACGGCCTACCCATCTCACTGCTGAGCAGTCTGCAAGTATTAATGATGATCCAAAGATTCAGGAACTCCTTGGACAGCGTAAATACCTTGTCTCTAAAGGCAATAAGTCGGAGAAAGTTCGCGCCCGCCTAACGAAGATTACTAAGGATATCCAAAGCGAGAAGGCGCGTCTGCGCAGAAAACGCAAAGACCAGATCAGAAACACTTGGTCCCGGGAACAGGCTGTAACCGATATCGAGCGACAATTAGCTGGCAAGACATTTGAGGAGCCACCAATGCCGCCATCAGATGACGATGCTCATCCAGCCCAGAAACGCCTATACGAAGCCTTAATGGCCCCAGTGACCAACACAATCGAGTCCGAATATTGTCGCCGTAACGAAGCGATTCTCAATGTCATGTCTTACTGTTCTGTCCAAGAACCACCCTTGCCTCCTTTAACAAGATACAAAGCGGTTACATCTAAGGAAGATGTCTCTAAGCTGCATGATAAAACCGCCAAGAAGACTGCAGGCAGCGCCTTAGGTGATGCAATAACTTCAGTCTTTGTCAAAAACGGGACGGAGCGAAGTCGGAGGTGCTTTCTCTGTGTTGGTAGGGCCACTACTCTTGAGCTTTCCGATCCAGCTATCGATGGCCTAATCAAGCCTTTCTACTCAACGGGGGATTTGAGCAGGCACTTCAAACGGCGTCATCTTTCTAATCTTCAGCCACACGAAGAGCTCCATTGCCGCCTGTGTGATGAGACGTTAGATCATAAGATGCACTTGCAAAACCATGCCGAGACAGTACACGGGACTGTATCACATGGAGATTGATGAATATGAAATTCTTATGGAACAATCGTTGGTGATCTGTGTGGCGAAGGCTTCTGTTTTCTTGGGACTGCTTCTTCGATATGTATTTGCTTTGACTTTTAAGAATATCATAGAGAATATAAAAATACTGTTTATGTAGAACGGTATTGACTAAGTTGTATCAAAGTTCATCTGACCACTACTACTTTGTGGGGTGCAAGCTCCCTCCCCACCTCGTCATACTTGCCGCCAAGGTACATGAACAAGCCGGTCTTAGCAGTATCTGTCTATTTCAACTCAACCTCCTCATCCTTCCAAGCGAAGTATTGAAAGGTAATGAAAGTAGTTGAAACAGCAACCAAGTAAGCTCCCATGCCAAATGACGATGAGTCGTCCGATGTCATCAACCCATACGTAAGGACACCGAAACCAGTTACAACGAGAACGATCAACAGCAACAGAACACAGCGCCAATTCAGCTCTTCGTTGATGCGAATACCCCATCCTATAACCCTCTGACCATCAGTGCCAGGGTTACGGGCCAATGGCTCATTGAGCTTTTTGGGGAAAGTCGTTATCCAATATTTATCAACATGAGGGCCTGGTTTTAGCAGATGAGGTAGAGGGATATGGAGGAATTCAACGTCTTCCATAGGGACCGGCTCGTACAGATATCTTCCCGCCCTTACTTCTGTCTCTGGAGGAAATTGACCTTTGTGAAACCACCCTGGACAGCACTTCTCACCGACGGGAATCAATTGAAACTAGGCAGTAAATTAGTATAAGCAATGACCAAATCTCAGTGGTCACCGAAAGAAGAGGATACAGCCTAGCCGAACTGCGGACCCAATTTTGTAAAGACTTGTCTGGCCCAGCAAGTTTCGAAGCAACGACACATTTCAGTCTACTCAGCAGCGAGTAAATTCGTGGCGACCGTATTGAAATGCCATAACATAAATTGCAAAGCCATGACGGAATAAGCAACGAGACTCTCCACTGGTTTGCCGTACGGATTCTGTGGTAGGCGTCGCGGATTTGACGAAACATGTGTTCGTCGTTACTTTGACAACTCAGTTCTATATGGTCAAGAACGGTGGAATATTTTCCGTTGATGCAAACAAGGAGGTACTGAGAATCTCCAGGTGAATCGAGATTCGGGTCTTCTTGAGACAGTGTGCGCATAGGTTGAGTGTTTGGAAGCCTTGATATCGTTTCTTGAGGAGACGGCACAACTACGCTGCTTAAATGAGCTTGAGGTGGAGGATTTGGTGGATCGCAAGAAACAATTGGGTGCTGTGTGCGACTTCTAGCGAGAGAGGCACAGTTGACTATCGTCCGTCGGAAGCTGTCGACTCCACCAGGCGACAGCTCTTTAAGATCAAGACACAAAAGGTCTCCACAGCCCTGAAAAGTTTGTTGGACTCGTTCAAATGACACAGGATAAGGGTTACTTACACAGAGGTATGAGATACGCTAGTAGCCAGCAGGTGGGGGGGGAACAGACGCTAACAAGCCAGAACTACCAAGACGACATCATTTTCCAAGATTTTATATCGTTCAACGACGGTTTTTCAGTACACTCCAACTCTAGAAGTTCCAGAGGGTCTTGGCATATATCGAATGGCGATGTCCCTCGACTCAGATAATGCCGCCATGACTGGTGTCACTCCCGTGTTGCTTGCTACCGTCATAGAAGCAGCTTAACCACGTCGACGTGTCCCTGCAATGATGCCACAATGACTGGTGTCCATCCATTAATATCCGGAATTATGATATTGGCTCCGTTATGAACCATTAGGTCAACAACTTCTATGGGCCCCTTAATACAAACAATACCAAGAGGCGACCGTCCCAGGCTGCTTTTCTCATTCACGTTTTGCTCAGTGATTAGAGAAACATCCACATCCTTCAAGCCCATCTCTATCGCATAGTATAAGGGGCCAGGTGGAATAGTCTCAGCATCTTAGCCTTGCAGTATTGGGTTCTCTGAGTCAATCAATGTCCTCCAGAACCCCCAATTCGGGTTATCTCTACTCAAGAATCTCCTACAGAGCCCCAGAATTACTGGATCACCCTGCAACCCAGAGGTAACATGCTGATGCCAGGCCGTCGCTGCATATCTTGTAAACGACAGGCCAAGAGATAATATGTAGTATTTCCATTACCCTTTTAGACGTATTCTTGTCGTTAAAGCTAGAGTGGTAATAAGGTAGTAGCCTGCCGTGCTTAATTCTAACGCATAGACCCTATTACTTAAAGAGGGTTTTAGCAACCCTGAACTAAGTATTTAAAGTATATAAGTTAGTTTAGAATGTCTAGTAGGTCTGTACTATATTAACTGCTTTTATGCAGGAAGTAAAAAGTCTGGCAAGCCTCGCGACTCTAACAATAAGGCCTGCGATATCCATAATGAGTTACAGTTAGCGTGAGAACATCAGATCTAGAGGAGGGGGTGTCAGCATTTTATCACGCTCAGCCAAGCATGCACAAGGCTCTCTGTCAGGCACACTGATTCCTTATTCAGCTGGATGCAGGCTGTTAATCAGGAATCTACGGGAAAAGAGAAGCATGCTTATTACCGGTAGCCTCGACAAGACTCGTTCACAGCTTCTTAGCATTGAATTATGGCCTTTTAGTAAGTAGAATACGCGTCGATGTATTTATCCCTTACATGCTAGCTACCCTAAGCATAAATGGTGCCGATGGTCGAAGAGGCCAACACCTTCCT